CTGGAGAATGAGGCCAGTAGGGCTAATTTAAATTTAAACAAAAGAATATTAATCCGGCAGCCATTTATGAAAGTGGTCTATAACCCATACTCTTCTCAGTGTATTTATTTCAGTAACTGGTAAATTTAACGAGTACATATATCTTATTAACCAAGCGCGAGGGCCGTACTGGGAGAATATCGGCCCGAGGCCTTGACAGTACAGACCGAGCACAGCTTGAGCACAGCTCGGTCTGTACAAAAAAGACCGAGGGCTGATATTCCTCCAGTATGGTCCCGAGCAAGCTTGGTTAGTAAGAGATTTATTATACGACTGAAGTTCAAAGGGACACAAGTGAGGCATCATTCGGGACCATTAGGGGCAGTGCCCTGTCCAATACTGAGAGAATATTGACCGGCAATAGAGCATTTTGATTGGTTGATTTTAGTTATTGGCCTTCTGACTGCCCGAGTCGTGTAATAAACCTTATTACTGCCTAAAATCACTTTGAATTCTTAAAATTTGACAGTTAAGATAAGGATTGCTCTACCAGTTTGAAAATTTCGTTAACCGGTCATAACGGAGAACACTGTTAGAGTTACTTGTGACTTGCCATCATCCCAACCAAGGTGGTAAGCAACGTTTTTTTAATACCACCTGCTGTGGTAACAGGAACAAGCACTTCCAGTGATTTACCAGTAGATTTCTCCAAACACTGGACCCATTGGTGAAGAAGGACTTAAGAAATATTGGTTTCTTTGGAAGGTGGAGGATGTAAATACAATGTAGAGATTTTTCAGTGTTAAAAAAATATATTGAATTGATATTTTAACAGTTGCACCTAGTCTTATCATGCGACCAACAAACCAGACAGTTGTCGAGTCCAAAACTGTATCATTCAACTGCTCTGCCACTGGGAACCCAACCCCAAAGATAACATGGCTAAAAGATGGGATTACTGTGGGTCAGGGGAAAACACTGAGCTTTGAAGCAAACAGGAATCAATCTGGAAAATATTGGTGTTCAGCCAAGAATGGATTAAAAGTGGTTGTGAATGCGAGTGCTATTCTTGATGTTCAATGTAAGTGAACAAATTTGCAGTTATATGTAGATATTTGGGTTAGAATTGAGTAATCCTTTAACTACCAAGATCTGATTGTTAATTCTCTAGCTGACTTCTAGCTGGTACAGTGACATTTCCTTGTAAATCAGTTACAATAATTTGATTTTAGATCAAGATACCAACTTGTACTTGAAGTTTGAATATTTTTGATTTATAGATATTCAAGCACAAATCTATGGAAAACTGATTGGTTATAAAGAATAAAATTGGCTAAAGACGTACCTAAAAAAAAATTACTGATGATGGAAAATTTATTTTCCTAAGTGAGAAATTGTCACTCTTAAACTTACACAGTGTAACATATTAGCATGTGATAACATTGGCATGTTATATTATGACTATGCATATTTAAGTAGCATAACACGTTGTAGGCAAATTCAGTAAAGCATACAAACTCATGCGATGTGTTAGGCGGAAACCTGAATGAAGAGTCTCCGGCAACTTACTACATGGTGGTAGCGTTCCACAACCCTGGCGCAGTGGTGAGAGCACTTCCCTCCCACCACTGTGGCCCGGGTTCGATTCCCGGAACTGGTGTCACATGACAGTTGAGTTTGTGGTCGGTTCTTGTCCTTGCTCCGAGGGTTTTTCTCTGGGTCCTCTGGTTTTCCTCCCTCCGCAAAAAACAACATTCCAAATTCCAATTCGATCTGGAAACAGTGGACAAGAAAAGCCACCCAGTGAAAAGTCCACTACTAAATTATTATTATTATTATTATTATTATTATTATTATTATTATTATTATTATTATTACAAGAATAACTTCTAAATTTCAATCGAGAGAAGCCAGCAGAAGTGAATTATGGCAACGGCTACGTCTGTTACGTTGCCATACATGAACTGGGACGCTCTGGATCCGATAATCGCATTCACAAGATTTAAACAAAATTGTCAGCTGTAGCATAACGTGTTGTATGCAAATTCAGTAAAGCATACACACTCATGCGTTGTGTTAGACAGAAACCTGAATAAAGAGTCTCCGGCAACGTACTACACACACCCTTTTTGCTTTCTTTATAATTGTTATCCGTGAGTATTGTCTCCTGTTATGCAACATACCTAATAAGTCAAATTGTTTTAGTTCCACCAAGAGTAGTAGCCAGGCCATCAGATCAAACAGTCACTGAAAAGGAAAGGGTGACCTTCCACTGTATTGCCACTGGGAACCCAGCTCCAAAGGTAACTTGGCTGAGAGATGGAGAGACTGTGGCTGAAGTAGAAACACTGAGCTTTGAAGCCAGCAGAAATCAATCAGGAAATTACTGGTGTTCAGTAGAAAACGGCCTGGGTGTCACAGTGAACGTCAGTACCCACCTTAATGTACATTGTAAGTGGCACATAGCATATTAACCCTTTTATTTCCAGGAGTGACCCAAAAGGATTTGATCCTTATAATTTCTATGATGGCCAGCTAGTCTTAAATGGTTAGCCCCTGGTTGGCCCATGTGAGGTTTAATTTAAAAGGCAAAACGAGGACGTACATTAATGAATGACTATCTGTTCTAGACGCTCCAAGTTTGACCAAAGAACCAGTTGACCAGGTTGTCCTTGAGGGTACAGAAGCTACCTTCCACTGTGCTGCAGATGGAAACCCTGAGCCTGAGATAAAGTGGATAAAAGATGGCAAGACTGTAGCTACTCAAGGGTTGCTTACCTTTGAAGCTATGAGGAATCAATCAGGGAAATATTTGTGTTCTGTGGAAAATGGACTGAATTCAACCGTTAATGCTAGTGCCACCCTAGATGTTCAGTGTAAGTGAGAGCGTTACATCTCATAGAGGAACTTGATGGGCTTAAGCTTGGTCCAATTGTTGACTACTGTTTTTGAGTGCAAAAGCTTTCTGTTTCCTGCAGAAGAAGGAGAAGAAAAGATTTTCAGGTTTTTGCAAGTGGCTAAAAAAAAAATCGGGCAACATGACTCTTGATTTCGGGACATGACTCGGGTTTCGGGCGACGTGACTTTCCAATAAACCAGGAGGTAACTTATAAGACACTGGGTGTGGCTGATCTGCTATGGTGGCCTCTTCCTCGTTAGGGTGCTCCTGATTGCCATCCCTTTTTGTTTTACCATCCTTGTGCAAATGTCAAATCCAATTTCCTGCTATCAGCTAGATTTTATAAATACCTCTCGAGGCCTTATTTCACCAAGCAGACCGATCGCTAGGGCATGAGCAAGCTGAGTGTTTTGGCAAGAAGGAATCATAGCCTAAAATCAAGCAATAGTATTTACAGGGATTTTTTCTTGAACTTCTCTTATAGATTTGCCAAAATTTATGAACAAGCCTGCTAACCAAACAGTACAAGAGAGGGACTCAGTAACGTTTTATTGCAACGCTACTGGAAACCCAAAGCCAACAATAACATGGTACAAAGATGGCGAGACCGTGGCACATGGAGAGATGTTAAGATTTGAAAGCAATAGGAATGATTCTGGCGATTACTGGTGCTTGGCTGAGAATGGCTTAAAGACAGTGGTTAACACCAGTGCATATCTTGATGTGCTTTGTAAGTAGAATGGGAACAGTTTGTATTTTTTTTTTCCGTATTATTTGTGTTGAGGCGATTGTTTTGAGAACTTTTTTAATTGAGAAGTATGCGCACAATTCTGTAATTGTAATTCTAAAATGTATCAGGGATATCAAGACTGTCAAGTGTAGTTTACACTCTCCAGCTATTGTAGTTTGACTTGACTTGATTCTACAAAATCTACCTGTTTCTAAAAAGCATCAGCTACAGTGTTATAGAGAGGACTAATGGAAAAATCCCAGAATTGTGGGATGCTTTGACCAGTCGCTCTGACAAAGACACTCGAAAACTCAGCTTTAGAAAATTTTTATGTCAATTTGCATTATCAACTCAGTTTATAATACCAAATTATCTTCTAATACATCCAACGACGCAGCGCCACGGCTTTGACCATAGGTTTGAGAATCTGAAACCGAAACTGAGACTTGTTTTCTCTGACGCTTTACGCAAAGGTGCGATATCCTCCTTTGCATCTGTTCTTAACTTTATGTGTATCAGCTTCTACGTTGCGATATTTTCAAATGACAGCGATCTTAGACATGTCTATCACTCACGGAAGTAAATCTAAACTTCTTTAGCAAGATTTTGAGCGAGACCTTGGGTTAGGCGTAAATTAACCAACTACAAAAGACTTTTGAGTGTATCAAAACTTCTAACGAGATTTATAGATCAAATAAAAACTTTACGAGACCTTCGATTTTCCAAGGCACCCCCTGCCACTCATGCCTTTGGCTATCCTTTCATTGCATCACAACGGGTTTGCTCTGTTGCAGTTGCACCAAGTCTAACCACTGAACCCAGTAACCAAACAGTTATTGAGTCTGATGAAGCAATGTTCCAATGTATTGCCACTGGTAACCCAACCCCAAAGGTAACATGGACTAAAGATGGGATGACTGTGGGATCTGGAGAGACTCTTAGATTCACGGCGAGCAGGAACCAATCTGGGAAGTACTGGTGCTCAGTAGAAAATGGCTTCAATGTCACTGTCAATGCTAGTGCTTATCTTGATGTGCATTGTAAGTAATTTTAAAGCAGACATCTTTTCCACACTTTGAAATGAGCATGGTTTACCTTTGCCAATGCTTTCTGCATTTAAGCGAAAATTAGGAAACTTTTATCATGAAAATTATGTAATATAGTGCTCTAAGCACGTGCCCCGTTTTCCTAGCGCAGGTGGGCAAACGTCGTTGGATATTATGTAATGTAATACTCTAAGCAATTGCCCCATTTTCCCAGCGCAGTTGGGCAAACTTCGTTAATGTTATGAGCATTGCGGTATAGGGCCCCAAGCTCAACTTTTTCCAAATGTGCCATTCATAGCGTTGCCGCCCCCTCCTTCAAAAAAAAAAATGGTCACCAACTTAGTCTACAGACACTAGATAATAAGAACGTCAGAACGTACCGCTTGACCGCCGAACACAAGCCGCTAACTCGCTAAATTGTTCGACTACACGCTAGAGCGAGCACAATGGTCGCAGCTTGAAGCGCTGCCATTAGGTCAAGGATTGTAGAACATCATCATTTACCTGATACAACGGTAGTTGAAACTTTGACTGTTGGAGACTTTTTCCATTCCTGTAGGTTTCCGCTTACAATAGTTTAACTGTACGTTTGGATGCTGTGAAAGGATTGCCGTTTAATTTCTCCTTGCAATATCACCCCGGAATCACACATTAAGGTCAGGAGAATAAAGGAAATGATTACCAACTAAAGAAGCTCTCGATTGTTAAATAAATTCTCCCAGTCAGCACCTCGGGAAATATTTAGAGAACAGTATGGAGAATTTGGATACTGATGCTAGTAACATCGAATATTCTTTACTTTCAGTCGCACCAAGTCTCGTGAGTGAAAAAGTGAACAAGACGGTCAATGAATCTGATGAAGTGATTCTCCATTGCGACGCGACTGGTAATCCTGTACCAAGGATAACGTGGATTAAGGATGGGAAACCTGAGGCTTATGGCGATACACTACGGTTTACAGCTCTGAGGAATCATTCCGGAATATACTTGTGTTTGGCAAATAACGGGTTGAATGTCACTGTCAAAGCGAGAACTCATCTTAATGTACAGTGTGAGTATTAATTTAGCAGCTAACGTGTTGGAATCATTCCCAACCAAGGTTTTTTTTTTGCAACTGTTTTTACGGGACCGCCTCCCGGTTAGCTTAATGGATGGAGCGCTGGATTATTGTGCGGGAGGTCGAGGGTTCGAGTCCCGGCCGAAGCAACACTCAGGGTCTTAAAATAATTGAGAAGAATTTGCTACCTTTCTATAACATCAAGAAATGGTTAGATATTCTAGTCTTCTCGGATAGGGACGAATAAATGGAGGTCCCGTCTCCTGCAGGGTTGGGGGTAGGAGACATTAATTTCCCGCACACGAGATTACTGTGTGATGGATGTCGTCCCCTGGGGTGGGATGGGTGGGAGGGTGGACTAGCACGAATGGTTCCTATGTTCCTTTCTAGTCCTTCCCCACTGCAAAACTTAATGCTGTGAAAATGGACTAAATTAAATTAAATTAAATTATACATGAGAGGGGGGAGCAGGGGAGTCTTTTGGTTGTGTCATAGTTAAAATTTACGTGTTCCCCCCTAGGGCACTGTTGTATTCTAACGACCCCCTCATTGGCAGTCAATTTTCTACAGCCCTATCCCCCCTTTATACTCTGTATACTCTGCTGGTGACGAATGATCCCCTCCTTAAAACCTTTAACCCCCCCCCTCCCCGCCCCCGAAATCTTCCGACCCTTTTCAAGCACCAAGCAACAGATAATGACGGGTACCTAACTGGAATGTTTAAGAGAGAGGTGAAGAAAAACTGATGCATTTCGAGATTAGTTTTGACACTGAAGGTATTGACCTTGCACTCGGGCACTGACCCGGGCACTGATATGTCACGTGCCTAGTTTCGGAACACTGCGTCATTTTGTGCCGGTGCCTTGGCAGTAATGCTCGGGCACCAAGTGTGAACGCAGCGTAAGAAAATGCTTTAGTTATTTTTTTTTTTCACAAATCCTCTCTAGATTTAGAAATCATCAGACTAGCGCATCTCAATTTTACACCATATCTTTTTAAATTTGCCGGAATAAATTGTCATAAGCTAGCTGGAAACTTACTGACTCAATCTGTACTTTTATAGATCCTCCAAGCTTCTCCATAAAACCCTCCAACAAAACTGTCTCAGAGGATGATGACGTAACATTTACCTGTAATGCTACCGGTAACCCAACCCCAAAGATAGCATGGATCAAGAATGGTATAACTGTGGCTCGTGGGGAAACTCTTAGCTTGACGCCGAATAGGGGTGAATCTGGAGAATACTGGTGTTCGACGGAGAATGGACTGGGTCCGGCTATCAACTCTAGCGCTTATCTTGATGTACAGTGTGAGTAAAACATGATATAAGTATGATATCTGACAACCGCGCGTGATTTAGCGGTAAATATACGCACACACTAGTTGTAACAATATAACATTTATTACTTCTATTGCGCCTTTTCTTTATATTCACTCAAAGGCGCATCACAAACCGCAATGCATCAAGCAGTTTTACAGTATAAATCGAAGGAAACTTATTTAAAGGTGCCCCCTCCCCCCAATTCCCATTAAACAGGTCAGACCACATCACAGTAATCTCGTGAGTGGGTTCTTTATCGTCCCCTGCCTAACCAAATTGACTCGAACCCTCCACCTCCCGAACAACAGTCTGGCGCTCTAAAGCAGTTGAGCTAACCGGGAGGCGGTAATACTTAATGCAGTAATCGTGTCTAATCCATTGTAGTTCCAGCAAGCTTAACAACTACACCAGTAAATCAAACTGTCCTCGAAGGAGAAACAGCCACATTAGACTGTGCTGCCACTGGCAACCCAACACCAAACATATACTGGATCAAGGAAGGGAAGACTGTGGGTAAAGGAGGTAACCTTAGCTTCGAAGTCAACAGGAATCAGTCCGGATATTACTGGTGTGTGGCAGAAAATAGATTCCAAACTACTGCAAATGCTAGTGGTTATCTGAATGTACTGTGTAAGTATGAAAGGTTTGGTTTGATTACTACTTGTCAGAGGGAATAGGCCATTTCCGAATGGTTGTGACTTAAATGGATACTCCAAAATCAGGTTTCCGAGTAAGGACTGGAACTGAATAATTTTTTAGGCCTGGTGCTCAACCACTTGTATGAAGATGAGTTTAATTTGCATATGAATAAAAACTTATTATGGTACGAAAGGGTGAGCACTAGGGCTGGCTTTGAAAAACAGGAAATGGGCTATTTCTATTGCATGCTATAAACGAAAACCACAGTTATCACGACAGCCATTTACAACAAAGGAAAATGTCACAGAAGCGAGAAAAACTGACTGATATGCGAAAAAACAGGAATGAATAAGGCACGATTTATACTTAGTAACGCATCTGATTGGTCGAGAGGATGGCAAACCGATTAACGAGAGCAGTGAAGCAAAAGCCATTTAACTGAGGAGATGTTTCGATTCTCAAATAGAAATGGCTCGAATACGTGATAATCGGCCAATTTAACCTTATTAGCGCGTTTGTTTTTTGAAAAATAACACTCCCCCAAAACAAGAGGTACAATATCATTCTAGTTAAACAGTAACTTTTCTTAATTACTTATTTATCTAAATAACTGTCCACGCGCCTTGTACTTGAGACGTTATTTGACTGAAAACAGTAAAATAAAGAAATACATCAATCAATCAAACGTTGCTGTGCATTTACAACATGTTGTAATTATCCAAACTTTATTTATTTATTCGCAGTCGCACCAAGTATAACAGTCAGACCGACTGATCAGACTGTTGAAGTGGGTAGCGTAGCAACGTTCCACTGCAGTGCCACTGGAAACCCAGTCCCAAATGTGACCTGGATTAACAAAGAGAAGACTGTGGCTCAGGGAAACACTCTAAAAATTGATGCATATAGGAATCAAACAGGAAGATACTGGTGTCGGGCAGAGAACGGACTGAATCCAACTGTCAACGCTAGTGCCAATCTTGATGTGCAATGTAAGTTCGTGATAGATATTGTTGGTTAATATAGGTTAATGAAGGATAATATAGGCCAATGAAATAGTAAAAGAACAGAAGGCAAACATTGTAGGGGCAAGAATATATCTAACGAGAACAAGAATGGCGAGGGTTGCAAAGGCAAGGATTTCCAATGGCAAGTTCAGTTAAAAAAAAAAAAAAAAAATTGAAAGAAAAAAATTGAAATTTAAAAATTGAAAGTAAACTTAAGTAAAGGTAGCTCGCTAAAGAAGAATGTTTTTATGAACGTCGTTTTAATCTTCCCAGTTTATCCTTTTTCAGTCGCACCGAGTATTACCATCAAGCCAACTGACAAGACTGTCACTGAGGGGGATGTAGTCGTCTTTCACTGCAATGCCACTGGGAACCCAACTCCAAAGATAACGTGGACCAAGGATGGGAAGAATTTAACTGAGGGTGACACTCTGAGCTTTAAAACAAACAGAACCCAATCTGGAAAATACTGGTGTTCAGGAGAGAATGGATTGAGGTCTGCTGTTAATGCCAGTGCTAATCTTGATGTTCAGTGTAAGTACATCAAAATTATACCACGATAGTACTTAGTACATTACGAGTCCGACAGAAGGTTTTTTTAAGAAAATGCGCAGACGTGATGAAACGCTTTTTGTTAGTCTACAGCTGTAACAATGTAGTATTTGCATAACACTTTTCGCCTATTAGCGTTTATGGGACCTTTGTTTGTTTAGTTCATTTTCCTCTTCGTGAACGATCACCATTCTAATGTATAAAACCGCAACGAAAAAGTGGTTTCACTCTGTTTTTTTTTTTTTTATCCTATATTTCAGTTCCACCAAGCTTTACCACGAGACCAAGCAACCAAACTGTTATCGAAGGAAAGAATGTAACTTTCCTTTGTACTGCCATTGGAAACCCAACTCCAACTATAACGTGGATGAAAGATCGGACTTCTGTGGCTGAAGGAAAGGCACTCAGCCTTGAAACCGGCAGAAATGATTCTGGGAAATATTGGTGTTTGGCTAAGAATGGACTGGGTGAAGCTATCAACACAACTGCCTATCTTGATGTACAATGTAAGTTTAAAAAAAGAAAAATTGTCATTTTTCCTAAAGGAAGATTATGACAACTGGGCTGTTTTTGTGTATGTGCCAAAACACCATAAATGTGAAAAAGGTGAGGCAAGCGATTATAGATCATATCTACAAATCTTAACTCAGCTTCTTAATTGAACACGTGTTTTATATCTCTCTAAATCATCACTTAGTTTCCCCGAGTATTATCAGCAAACCAACGGACAAGATTGTCACAGAGGGGGATATGGTAACCTTCCAGTGTACGGCCACTGGGAATCCAACTCCAAAGATAACGTGGATTAAAGATGGGAGGACTGTAGCTGAAGGAGACACACTGAGCTTTAAACCCAACAGAACTCAATCTGGAAAGTACTGGTGTTTGGCAGAGAACGAATTGCTGTCTTCTGTAAATACTAGCGCCAATCTGGATGTCCAGTGTAAGTACTTTAGCATTATACGAGAAAACTAAAAAGAACAGGAAATTGTCAATTATATTTCAATTTTTAATCCTTGTGACTTCTTGACTAATTTTCCCTCTTTTATGTTTTGATCACTTACCGAGCTATTGTTTTCGTTTCTCCTGCTGCCCTATACTTCACGAATGATTCATCATTTTTTACAGTTCCACCAAGCTTTACGTGGAGACCAGCCAACCAAACTGTTGTGGAAGGAACAAAAATCCAATTTTATTGTAATGCCACTGGAAACCCAACTCCAAACATAACGTGGATGACAGATGGGAATGTTGTGACTGAAGGAAACACTCTCAGCTTTCAGACGAGCAGAAACAGTTCTGGAAATTATTGGTGTTCGGCCAAGAATGGAGTTGGTGAAACTTTCAATACCACAGCCTATCTTGATGTACAATGTAAGTGTTGTAAAGAAACTGACAAAGTAGTGTGCTCTGTTTAGAGTTTTATGACAATCGTGTCGAAACCAGTGGCGGATACTAGCGCATGGTCCGGAGGAGGGTCTGAAACTCGTCACTCCCTCTCCCCATCAGGCCTTTGGGTATTTTTACTACTTGTGTGACACCAAAATTGTTGCAGTGATAGTAGTGCATGTTGAGGCTCAAGGGTAAACAAGAAAATTAATTTTTTTATCCAAAGCGTGGTACCCCTTCCCTTATCAAGAATTCCTGGATCTGTCCTTAGAAACACTTTTCAAAAACAAAGCAAGAGTTGAACCAGGGGCAAACGAGGACCTCTTCGCTATTTTCTTGTATATGATCAAGTTTTCTCCTTTTTCTTATTCACCCTTTATTTTAAGTTCCTCCAAGCATTATCGTCAACCCAACTGACCAAACCGTTACTGAAGGAAATATGGTAGCCTTCCATTGTGATGTGACTGGGAATCCAGCTCCAAAAATAACGTGGATTAAAGATGAAAAGACTGTGGGTGAGGGAGACACAGTGAACTTTGAAACCAACAGAACTCATTCTGGAAAATACTGGTGTTCAGCAGAGAATGGATTGAAGTCTTCGGTTAATGCCAGTGCCGATCTTGATGTACAGTGTAAGTACAATAGCATTTTAACAATTTTTCAATTGAAGTCCAATTTTTTTTTTTATTTTACCATTATTCGAAGTAATGTCGCAATATGATTGGCCAAGTTGCCGTTGTCGATAAGAGTACTTTCAACGCTGCTCGCGTTGACGTATAATGCAACTTGTCACGCACTGAAAGAATCGTTTCATTTCAATTGACGTCGATATTGTGGTAAAATATTGTGGTAAAAAACAGTAGTCAAAATGTTGCAGCCATTGTTTTGCATTGTAGGTCTACAACATTGTGACCACTGTGATGACCAATATCGTTCTCGTTAAGAGTACAGACCGCGCTAAACCACTGTCGATTTGTAAAACATCTTTGTTTTTAACTGGGTTATTATTTACTTTTTTATGCTGTTTTTATTTTAATTTAGTCCCACCAAGCTTTGCCTCGAAACCAACAAATCAAACTGTTGTTGAGGGAATGAATGCAACCTTTCATTGCACTGCCACTGGGAACCCAACTCCAACCATTACTTGGAGGAAAGATGGAAATTCTGTGGCGGAAGGAAAGAGTTTCAGCTTTGAAACGAGCAGAAATGATTCGGGAGAATATCGGTGTTTGGCCGAGAATGGACTGGGTGAAGTTATCAACACAACGGCTTATCTGGATGTACAATGTAAGCCTTACAAACGGTTTTGCAGAGTAAAAAAAAAAAAAAAACTAATTAAAGCTTTTTCTGAAAAGAAAGATCATAACTACAAAAATAATGAAATATGTTGAAAAAGATCCATATGTTTAATGCAACCCAACTGTTTTTTCTTGATGTGTTAAATTCTCAGCTGATGTATAAAATCAGTACTTAGATCACTTCCTTATGTACCCCTGGTAAAGAAGTTTATTCTTAGGAGAATGGTGTCTTTTCTTCAGGCATTCACATCCAGGCAACATGAGCTTTATACACGGAAGTGGTCGTTTCTCTTGTTAATTTTTGTTTTCATTAACGCGTCTTTAATCAACAAACATCGAGGAGTCGAGGATAAAGCCGAAAGCTCACAAGGATGGCTTGGGTCGAAACGATTAGAAAATGTTGTAAATGAAAAGTTTGATTTCTGCTGGATTTTTGAAGATGTACAAATCTTGACTTAGCTCACTAATGTACCGTCAGAGCGAATGACAAAGGGCTAACGCTCGAAACATCAGCCTTAAAACTCTTTACGTTGGCCAATTTTCTTTATCAACTCAGTTGATAAAATTAAAATTCTTATAATGATAGTTCCAAGAATTTGGTTTTGAATCAACTAATAATTCCTTAACAGTATTTTTTTTTTTTTTTACTTTATCACTTGTATTTATGTTTTAAGGAGTAATTCTGTCTGGGTAACTCATGGAAGTTGAAGGGCTTAGCATAATTATGCACGATTATTATCAGCTAACTTTCTTCATATACTGACAATTATGAACTTCTTGTATGATTTCTCTTCTATTTCAGTCCCGCCAAGCTTTACTACGAGACCAAACAACCAAACTGTTATCGAAGGAACGAATGTAACTTTTCTTTGCACTGCCACTGGGAACCCAACTCCAACTATTAAGTGGATGAAAGATGGAAAGTCTGTGGCGAAAGGAGGGACTCTCAGCTTTAAAACGAGCAGAAATGATTCTGGAGAGTATCGGTGTTTGGCCGAGAATGGACTGGGTGAAGTTATCAACACAACGGCTTATCTGGATGTTCAGTGTAAGTTTGGTAAAGTAAAAAATGAAAAAACCCAGGGAAAACTTTTCTCTTTAAAGAAAGATCATGACTACAACATTAAAGAATCATGTTTAAAAAAAATCCACATGTCTAGTGCAACCCAACTGTCTTTTCTTGATGTGTTGAAATCATAGCTGCTAAAGCCGAAAGCACACAAAGATGGCTTACGTCGAAACGATTAGAAAATGTTGCAAATAAAAATTTGATTTACGCTTAATATTTCAAGATGTACAAATCTTGACTTAGCTCGTTAATGTACCATTTGTTTTACATTTCACTTAATCGTTTCTATTAGTCTCTCCGAGTATCGTCTTCAAGCCAACGGACAAGACTGTTACCGAGGGGGATTTGGTAACCTTCTATTGTAATGCCACAGGAAATCCAACTCCAAAGATAACATGGACTACAGATGGGAAGACTGTGTCGGATGGAGACACACTGAGTTTTAAAACCAACAGGACACAGTCTGGAAAGTACTGGTGTTCGGCAGAGAATGGAGTGAAGTCTTCTGTAAATGCTAGCGCTAGTCTTGATGTCAAGTGTAAGAACACTTTAACGTAATACCAAAAAAAAAAAAAACAGGAAAATTATTGATTGCAATCCTTTTTTGTCGATTCAAATCGTTATTGATTTATCATTCCTCTTTACTGTTTTTCTGATTTACCGAGTGTATATTTTATAGTCGCCTTACTCCCAACATGTTATTGGTAATTCTACTTACTGTTTTCCATAACATTCTTATGATAATAGGTCGAAGAAATTGGTTTTGAATCAACTAATAATCCCTTAACAATAATTCTTAATTTTTTACTTTATCGTCTGCATTTATTCTCTAAGGAGAAATTCTGTCTTGGTCACTCGTGGGATTTGAAGAGTTTAGGATAATTCTGCACAAAAAAATTCAATTATTGTAAGCTAATTGTTTTAACATACTGAAAATTATAACTTCTTGTATGATCTTTCTTCTACTAAAGTTCCTCCAAGTTTTACAACGAGACCAAACAACCAAACTATTATCGAAGGAACGAATGTAACTTTCCTCTGCACTGCCACTGGAAACCCAACTCCAACTATATTGTGGATGAAAAATGGGACTTCTGTGGCTGAAGGAGAAACTTTCAGCCTTGAAACCAGCAGAAATGATTCTGGAAAATATTGGTGTTTAGCCAAGAATGGACTGGGCGAAGCTATCAATACGACGGCCTATCTTGATGTACAATGTAGGTTTGATATGGAAACTGATAATATACTGTACGCTGTAAAGAGTGTTTAAGAGATTACTATCAAATCACTTAAAAAACAAATCGATATGTTCAGTGCAGTTGAGCCTTTTTGGTTTACGTGTTTTGGAACACGACAAACAGTTCAAATTCGGAAACCTTCGGAGGAGATCACTGTCACATGTCTTTTCTAAATCTCTGTCTAAGCTAAAGACACAGCAATGTCCGCTCCCGTTGTTTGTTCATTTATTTATCTCTATTTTTTAGTTATTTGTTTATCTCTTTGAACTTATTATTTTTTTACTTCAGGACCCAATCTTTGAAGATGGACACTTTTTCTAATCTGTTTTTTCTCCCTTTTCCTTTCAGTCTCCCCGAGTATAATCACCAAGCCCACGGACAAGACTGTCACTGAAGGAGATACGGTAACCTTCCAGTGCACTGCTACTGGGAACCCAACTCCAAAGATAACATGGATGAAAGATGGCAGGACTGTGGCTGAAGGAGACAAACTGAGTTTTAAAACCAACAGAACTCAATCTGGAAAATACTGGTGTTCAGCAGAGAATGGAGTTAAATCTGCTGTCAATGCTAGCGTCAGTCTTGATGTCCAATGTAAGTACTTTAGCCGAATACTCGGAGAAAAAAAGCAGGAAATTGTTGATTGGAATCCTTTTTTATGTATTTTTTACTCTCTACGCGTTTCTAACTAACTGAGCTAATATCTTGTAGCCGCCTGAAAAGCACTATTCACTTGTTTGTTATACACTAATTCTCCCTACTGTCTGTCATACAGTTTTTGTGATGTTAGTTCGAAGAATTTGGGATTCAGTTGGATCAGATGATAATCCCCTAAACAATATTCTTGTTTATTCGCAACACTTATCTGCTTGATATTCTGCATAATATTGTCTTGGTTACTCATGGCAGTTGAAACACTGAGGGTTATTCTCCACCAAATTCTGCATCAATTTTTGTGATCTAATTCTTTTAACATAATGCAGTAAATGGTTTGAACCCGGGGGTAACATGTGACGGTGTAGTCTGATCGTCCGGGTGAGTGTAGTCCTGAGAAGGACTGTTGTCGGTGGTAGTGACTGACATTTCGACAACCTGTGCGGAAGTCACTTGACTCTGATGATGACTTCCGCACAGGTTGTCGAAACGTCAGTCACTGCCACCGACAACAGTCCTTCTCAGGACTACACTCACCCGGACGATCAGACTACAACTTCTTTTAACATACTGACAAATATGAACTTTTTGTATGATTTCTCTTGCGTTACAGTTCCACCAAGCTTTACTGCGAGACCAAGCAACCAAACAGTTATCGAGGGAACGAATGTCACTTTCCTTTGCACTGCCACTGGAAATCCAACTCCAACTACAACATGGATGAAAGATGGAAGTTTTGTGGCTGAAGGAAAGACACTCAGCCTCGAAACCAGCAGAAATGATTCTGGAAAATATTGGTGTTCGGCCAAAAATGGACTGGGTAAAGCCATCAACACGACGGCCTATCTTGATGTACAATGTAAGTTTGATATAGAAACTGATAATTTTTAAACATAATTTACTCTGTAACAAGCGTTTAATACAATCCGATCAAAACGCTTGAAAAAAATTGATAAGTTCATTTCATCTGTGATTTTTCGTTTACCTGTTTAGGAACGCAATATGCGGAGGAGATCTCCTTCGTGGAAATTTCCGTCTAACAGATGATCATGCTTTGTCTTTATCTAAGCTTAAGACATGGCAATGTCCGCTTCCGTTGTTCTATTTATTTATTTATTTATTTATTTATTTCTATGTACTTACCATTGTTTTTTACTTCAGTACTCAATCCTTGAGGATGGACACTTTTTCTCATTTGTTTTTTTCTTCCTTTCCCCTAAGTTTCACCGAACCTTATCATCAAGCCAACGGACAAGACTGCTACCGAAGGAGAAATTGTAGACTTCCATTGTGCTGCCACTGGGAACCCAACTCCAAAGATTACATGGACCAAGGATGGGAAGACTGTGGGTGAAGGAGAAACACTGCAATTTGAAAGTAACAGAACTCAATCTGGAAAATACTGGTGTTCAGCGGAGAATGGATTGACGTCTGCTCTTAATGCCAGTGCTAAACTTGATGTTCAGTGTAAGTACAACATATTTGTGCGAGGAGAAAAATGAGTAAAACTTTGATTGCAGTGTATGTGAATTCTTCCACATCCGTAGTTGTCTTAGGTTCCTCTCTGACAAACTATCGCATTAAAGTGCCTCTCTGAAGTTTTTAATTCCTACTTTTGGCAATCCACCATTTTGTTGTCTCTTTTGCAAAAGTGACGCAAAACTTCATGTATGATTTCTCCTTTTTTCAGTTCCTCCAAGTTTTACTAGGAGACCGAGCAACCTAACTGTTATCGAAGGAACAAATATCACATTCAGCTGCTCTGCATCTGGGAACCCAACTCCTGAGATTTCATGGCTTAAAGATGGAAAGACTGTGGCAGAAGGTGACACTCTGAGCCTTGAAACCAGCAGAAATGATTCTGGGAAATATTGGTGTTTGGCTAAAAATGGAGTGGGTGAAGCTATCAATACGACGGCCTATCTCGACGTACAATGTAAGTTTTACGTAGAAACTGATAACATAATGGGTTCTGTAAAGTGTTCAAAAGAATCCTTTTCAAACACTTAAACAGCAAAGAATCATTATACTTCAGTTCATGTTTTCATTTTTCGGATGTGCGTTTTGGAACACTATATGTATTTCAAATCCGTAAACCTTCGCAGGAGATTTCCGTCGAGGAAATTTTTGTCGAAAAGATGAACATACCTTTTTGTAAGTCTCTATCTAAGCTTTAGACAAAGCGATGTCCGTTTCGTTTCTTTATATTAGTTTATCTCTATTTCTTTATCTTTTTACTTTTCGGGTATTTGTTAATTGTTTTTAATCCATTTCCTAATCTTTGAAGATACGTTTTCTTATTTGCTTTTCTTCCTTTACTTTCAGTCTCCTCGAGTATTATCATCGAACCAAGGGACGAGACTATTGCTGAAGGAGATACAGTAACCTTCCATTGCACTGCCACCGGGAACCCAACTCCAAAGTTGACATGGATTAAAGATTGGGAGAATGTGGGTGAAGGAGACAAACTGAGCTTTGAAACAAACAGAACTCAATCTGGAAAATACTGGTGTTCAGTAGAGAATGGATTAACGCCTGCTGTTAATGCCAGTGCTAATCTTGATGTTCAGTGTAAGTACAATACATTTGAACCAGCAGAAAAAATCAGTAAACCTTTGATTGCAATCTAAGTTAATTATTCCACATCCGTAGTTGTCTTTAGCTCCTCCCTGACAAACCATTACCAGTGTTCTCCGTCTCAGTAAGAGCTCACAACATGTGTTGAATGTAGCTGCTACTAAGTAAAATACCTCATGGATTGTGCATGTGATTTTCAATGTTGTTATTTACGATCCCTTTTAATCTTCTTTATTCACGGGTATTTGTTCTCCCAATTATTTTGTTCGTACGTCTTTGGTATATTAAATTCATATTCTGGCAGTCTACCAAAATGTTTTCTCTTTCGCGAACACGACAAACAAAGTCGATTAAGTGACAGATACGAACATCATGTATAATTCATCTCTTATTTCAGATCCACCAAGTTTTACTTCGAGACCAAGCAACCAGACTGTCATCGAAGGAACGAACGTCACATTCCGCTGTTCTGCATCCGGGAACCCCCATCCTGACATTTCATGGCTTAAAGATGGAAAGACTGTGGCGGAAGGGGACACTTTGAGCCTGGAAACCAGCAAAAATGATTCTGGGAAATATTGGTGTTTGGCCAAGAATGGAGTGGGGGAAACTATCAATACAACTGTTTATCTTGATGTGCAATGTAAGTTTGGAAACAATGCTCGGAGTACTTTTTTCTTTAAAGCAGTACCATATGATTGCTATCGAAACAGCTTAAAAAATGTGAAAGTTGATCAAATGACTCAAACTGTACACTTTTTTAATATCTCTGTAATTCACCCATTACAGTCTCACCAAGTATTATCACCAAGCCAACGAACAAGACTGCTATCGAAGGAGATTTGGTAAGCTTCCGTTGTGTAGCCACTGGTAACCCAACTCCCAAAATATCATGGATCAAAGGTGGAAAGCCTGTGGCCGAGGGAGATACTCTGACCTTGAAAACCAACAGAACTCAATCTGGAGAATACTGGTGTTCGGCAGCGAATGGTTTGAAAGCTGCCGTTAATGCTAGCGCCAATCTTGATGTCCAGTGTAAGTAGATTACTGCTGACCAGTTGAAGCTAACTATAAAGTCCTTATAAACAATTCAAAGCAGCTCAATCGAACTGAGCCTGTGAGCAATGATTAAATTGTTTCAGTTTCCTTCGTTGTGTGATGTGTCACGAAAACTCCGCCGCCTTCACAACAAATCAGTTGCGAAGCCTCACAACAAATCAGTTGCGAAGTTGAGACCCGCTTAACCTAAGGTTTTGATTGACTCCTTGAAGTTTTTTTTCTTCGTTCTGATGGGCCATTTTGAAAGGTTTTTTGTTTTACAACGTGAAGTGGAAATGTGCTCTATGAACTACAACCAGGTGTCCAGGGGTTTCATTAAGGGCCTGGGCACCGGGCAAATTGACCGGTTGTGAGCATGGTTTTGCCCACCTGATTTGACAGTCTGGAGAAAAGTTTATCCTAAAAAGAAGTTCAGTTCAAACAGTTTTGCCCGCCTGTGAAAACCAGTTGCCCTCCTGCAGAAAATATTAATTAAGCCCTTGGGTGTGATTTGTTTTCAGTTCCACCAAGCTTTACTACGAGACCAAGCAACCAAACTGTTATGGAAGGAACGAAAACAACCTTTCGCTGTGCTGCCACTGGAAACCCAACTCCTAAGATGTCATGGCTGAAAGGTGGGGAAATTGTGGCGGAGGGAGACACCTTGAGTCTTGAAACCAACCGAAATGATTCTGGAAAATATTGGTGTTTTGCGGATAATGGGCTGGGTGATCCTATCGAAACGACTGCTCATCTCGACGTACAGTGTAAGTATGGTGAAGATAGACTGTCACAATATTTTTTTTTTTTTTGCCAATCCTGTCAAAAGGAAGAAAAAAGTGAGGTGCAGCCTCACGGTTGTTGTTGTTGTTAAAATTTGTAATCTCCGAATGAAAGGGAGAGCTTCATAGTATTTGCAGATCAGAGGGTATCCTACAGAAATCACTCTTTGTTCTTAAATGAGGTTGATGTAATTCTGATTTTTGTGTTTCCGTAACTAAAATTAGAATAAGGGGCGTTTACCTACCAGATAACCTCTCACTCCCCCTCACCCATCTCTATCCTATACAAGGGACCGATCATTATTTGTCTCTAGGGGTGGGGGGTCGGATAATTTTGATTGAGGAACGGTAACATTTACCTGATCCTTTCAGAAGGATCAATATCTAACAATATCTGTTGTATTGTTATGACCCTCCCCCCTCCCCCTCATTAACAATTAATTAGCAGTCAGTTTTCTCCATTTATACTCTGTTGGCGACGATTAATCCCCCCTCCGTTCCCCTTGAAAACCACTTTAACCCCAAAACTCCCTCCTTCTCCCCGCCCCTTAGTCGATAGATAATGACTTAACTGGTCCCTTAAGAGCTTTTGGTCTCTCTCTGCATCTATGCTGTGTTCTGTCTCCAATGCACGGGCTTATCATAAGCGCTTGTTTTCTGCCACAGACCCACCAACTTTGACCGTAACTCCAACAAACCTGACCATGGCTGAGGGTCACAATGCAACTTTCCGCTGCTCAGCTACTGGGAATCCCACTCCAACGATAACATGGATGAAAGATGGCCAGACTGTAGCCACAGGAAGATCATATACTCTAGAAGCTAACAAGAAAGATTCTGGAATGTACTGGTGTATTGCGGATAATGGTTTGAGAGTCAAGGCCAATGCCAGTGCTTTTCTTAACGTTCAGTGTGAGTAGGTGCTTTAATGCATACCTCGCGAAGGTTTCTTGTTTTTACCATTTTTTGACGTCATCTGTGAGCTATTACTGAACAGGATGGTACTGCTCGCGTGTATTGGAGCACTCCCACGCGTGTTAAGCGCGTGTAATCGTGGGAATCACTTGACTTTACACTCGCACACATGGTTTTTTAACTAGATGCAGTTGTGTGTAATGACGCGCAGTGTGTGTGTCTCGCGCTTGCAGGGCGTGGGACTTCTACGCGCACCAAGCAAGCGCCAAACGGTACTGTACATTCGGGTTAATGCTCGCTGTCTTATCTGCGTTTTATCTAAGCTCAGCATATTCCATTTTATCATTTTAGTCTCATCTGGTTTCACTACCCTACCATCTGACCAGACCGTCATGGAAGGCGAAGAAGTTACATTCTATTGTGCCGCAACAGGAAACCCACCACCTAGTATAACATGGAGTAAGGATGGAAATATACTGGCTTCAGGAAACACTTTAAAGTTTACAGCTCTCAAGAATGATTCTGGGGAATACTTGTGTTCTGCTGAGAATGGAGTAGAACTGGCCATCAATGCAAGCGCCCATCTCGATGTACAGTGTAAGTTTTGCCTAGTCGCATTTTCCTATGATCCTCTTCATCGTTAGCGATATTTGTTTCCTCCTCTCTAAGTTGTCTCTGTCTAACCAACCATGTGTTTTTTGGTCTCACTTAAACCAATGGTTAATTCAGCGGTTAGATCAAATTGAGCACGTGATTTCAAATCTCCCAGCTGATTACCGCCTGACGTAGTCATCTTTAAATAGAGTTAACGATACAACGATTTCAGACAAAAAGATTCTCAAAGCTGAAATTTTTTGAAACGTTCGGCTGACAGTGCGGACAATTTAAATGAAGATCTGTAGATTTAAGCGTTTGAAAGTGGATGTCAATGTTTCTTGTATTCTATCACAGATGCACCGAGTTTTACCGTCAAACCTACGGACAAAACCATAACAGAAGGTAGCTTGGTGGTATTCACTTGCACTGCCACTGGGAACCCAAGTCCAGAGATAACATGGTTTAAGGATGGCAAGCCTGTGACCAAAGGGGAAAAACTGATGTTTGTTACCAACAGAAATCAATCTGGAGAATACTGGTGTTTGGCTGACAATGGAGTAAATGTGACCGTCAATGCCAGTGCCTCTCTGGATGTTCAGTGTAAGTATAGTAAGGTGTCAACTTTCATTTTCAGCGCCGCTCTTGTTCCCAGGGTCAGTATAACAAAGTAAAAAAATTGGCAGTGAAGGAAAACGAACAGTAATGCTATAGAAAATCATCTGTGTCAATCAGAGCTTACGACCAAAGCAGGAAAAGGTGATGAGGAATTGATAAGGTATTCATTTCTTGTTTTCGATAATTGAATCGGTGAATTTCCGTGATCCTGGTAACCGCAATGACAGCGAAATGAAAAACCCCAAAACAAAGCGCTCCTTAATAGACCATTTTACTGTTGTGTACTTAGATGTTAAGCCTTTGATTTGAAGTGAGGCTGAGGCTGACATTGTTGTGATAGAGACCAGTATCTACTTAGCATGATAACAAAGGAATTTGCATTTGAAAAGCAGCAACATCTGTATGATATCGAGGTCACCCTAACCCTCACTCCAGTTAAAAGGCTTGGCCACCAAGCCCACAACTGTGAAAAGGTCTATTGGCGTGTACCGGCAAATTTTCAGAGGCTTATCCTGAAACTGATTAACATCATGAGTGAAACCTCTCTTCAATACTGCATATTTTTTTAATTGTGAAGAATCAAACATGAAACTAGCTAAATCCTCTTGAAGATTAGGATAAAGATAACCAAACTCTGCCGTGCGTATGTAATTTGCAGATCCACCAAGTTTTACAACTACACCAAGTGATTTGACTGTTCGAGAAGATAATGAAGCAAGATTCCATTGCACTGCTACTGGTAACCCAACCCCTGAGATAAAATGGATGAGAGATGGGAAGACTGTGGCTCAGGGAGACGTGTTTAAGTTTTCCGCCAAACGAAATCAGTCCGGGGAATATCGCTGTTTGGCTGAGAATGGACTGGGTGTGAATATCACTGCGAGTGCCTCTCTAGATGTACTGTGTAAGTTTACGTAACACGTTACATTCGTTGAATTTACTCAAAGATTAAACATTTCAGTAATGTCTAAATCTTTAGTAAAACGTCAAGCCAAAAGGTGATAAGAATAAAAAAAATTACCGACTACATGTACGTGATACTGTTTTTGATGTAAAAGCCAATTTCTTTGGAAATGAATGGGATTTAGGTAAGAAAAAAGCGACTTATTCTACTTTTGAGTTCCTTTTGATCTTTCTCCATTTCGTTACTCTTCATCTCAACTATTCCTTGATGATTTGCATTTATCATTTGCTTGAATTTCTACTCCAAGTTTTTCTATTTGAGTTCCACACGGCAAAGGACAAAACACAAACGAAAGAGAGACAAGGCTTTTAAGGACTGAACCCTAGATACTGTTACAATTGAAATTACTTCTTGACGGTATAACTGTACATTTTGTCCATTTCTCATTTCTTATTCAGTTGCACCAAGTTTAATTTCAACACCAGCTGACCAGACTGTGATTGAAGGAACCAAAACAACATTCTTCTGTAATGCCTCTGGGAACCCATCTCCGAAGATAACTTGGTCAAAAGATGGAGAGACTGTGACTAAAGGAGAAGTTTTTAGCTTTGAAGCGAATAGGAATCAATCTGGAGAGTACTGGTGTTCTGCAGAGAATGGATTAAATGTGACTGTCAATGCCAGCGTCCATCTTGATGTTCAATGTAAGTATAGGGTAATGTGGCGCTCTTGTTGCCGGGGTCAGTGAAACAAAGTAAACAAATCATAAAGAAGTAAACGAACAATACCTCCATCGAAAATCATCTGAATCAATGAGTGCTTGCGCCTAAAGTAAGCGAAGTTGACGAGGAATTTGCAATAAGTTCATTGCTTGTTTTCGATGATCGGATTGGTCAGGTCCAGCGACCCCATAAACAGTAATCATGAGGAACAAAACTTGACAAGTGACTCCAAAATTAGTAGGTAAGGTAAGGCAAAGTCTATTCTCGATAGAGTGGTTCACTCAGCCAGAGCTGATCCTGGTTTCCATAGTAAGAAACGACCAGGCGTATAACCACTCCCTGGATGAAACGCCAGTCCATCGCAAGGCTTCCCCCCCCCCTCCCTCCAGCGTTTCATCAAACTTAACTGACAATTTCCCTCCTGGGTGAGGAGAGGGGCTGTGAGAGTGAAGTGTTTTGTCCAAGAACACAGCACAATGGCCACCTGGCAGGTTTTAAACCCGGACATCTCGATCCGGAGTCGAGTGCACAATCCATTAGGTCAACGCGTCCCCTCCTAATTTAGTGCGCACCGTCAAATTGCGAAATCTCACTACGATGAATAGTGCGTTCGATCATTTGGCTTGTGAGCGAAACCACTCTGCACTACTGTATATTTAAAAAATTAAAGAAATGTAACGCGGCTCTAACGTTATTTCTCGAATGCCCATCATCTTGATGATGTTGATACAGATAGCCGGACTCCGCCAAACATATTTTCGTAATTTGCAGTTCCGCCAAGTTTTACAACAACACCAAGCGATCTGACTGTTCGAGAAGATAATGAAGCAAGTTTTCATTGTTCTGCCACTGGGAACCCAACTCCGACGATCACATGGATGAAAGATGGGAAGATTGTGGCTCAAGGAGACTCGTTGAGATTTTCGGCCAAACGAAATCAGTCTGGGGAATACCGCTGTACGGCAGCGAATGGCCTGGGTGTGAATATCACTGCAAGTGCCTCTCTTGATGTACAGTGTAAGTTTAATTCATAGCTTCCAATTGTCAAATTTTTTTCCCAAAGAGTAATCATTTCACTAACGCAAAGCATGCTTTATACTAAAACTGCCCATGAAATGTGAAGCTAAAAAGCGACAACTACCAACTGCGTGGTGTTGGTTTTGATGTAACTGGCATCTCCGGAAGTGCGTGGATTTGCTAAGGAAAATAGGCAATTCATTTTACTTTCGATTTTTTTTTATCCTCTTCTGCCTCGTTTATTCTTCCTTTTAAGTATTCCATTGTGATTTTCATTTATCATTCGAATTTCTTCTTCAAGTCTTTTATTTGAGTTCCACATGGCAAAACACCTAATACAAAAGAAAAAGAGATGGGCCTGTGGAGGCCTGAACCCTCAAACATAAGTTAAGATACTGCTAGAATTGAAATAACTGCATGGCAATATATCTACACATTTTGTCCATTCTTTATTTCATGTTCAGTTGCACCAAGTCTAATCTCAACACCGGCTGATCAGACCGTTATTGAGGGAGCCAAAGCAACATTCTACTGCAATGCCTCAGGGAACCCATCTCCAAAGATAACTTGGTCAAAAGATGGAAAGACTGTGACTGAAGGAGAAACTCTGAGCTTTGAAGCGAACAGGAATCAATCTGGAGAGTA